TTGGGAACAATTCGTAAAGAGGGAATATTCGGTCTTATTGTTTGTTATAAAAAACATAAAACACTATTTATTGACCAAAAGAATTATAAAAAACAACACAACTTATAAAACATATTAGTAACTGTAATAAAAATAAAAAAATAAAAGTTCTTGGCCAAAAGGAGAAGGTTCGGCTGATGCGGCCTCTAGCTTGTTGGTTAAATATGTAAACAATCAAATCGAGAAACTTTAATACATGAGATTTTAAACATTGAAATTAAAAAAACTTTAGGCCTATTTTTAAAAGTGTCAATGAATGTATAATTTTGCGAAATTTAAATTCAGCTTTACTCGATCCTAAAAATGATTTCAATACGAATGTAAAATATTTCTATACGAACTTCCAATAAACTTCATTATCTTTATTTCTCATTTTGTACTGTTGACATTCATTACACTAGTTTTTCGTTTGATATTATTACATAAAAATCTTTACCTTTGAGAATCACTGAACTAGACGGTTAAAATTTTTGTGCATAACTTGCAGCGGGGTCATTGAAGGACACGATAACGTTGAATTCCTGTTCGTAAATCTCGCTGATTACTTAAGTATGTAGTAACAGATAAAACATTGTTCTCAGCCAAGCGAGGCCGCGACGCTAATAGGAGAAAAAACAGATTTCTCTTTCTGTTGTTGTACTAAAATAATTCGAATAAATATGACATTTTTGAAGTGACGATAGCCAATGCTTATGTAAACACAGTACAAAATAAAAGTCCTAGATTTAATTAGATTTTCGTGTTGCTATTAATTAAGAGTAGGAAATGTTATCCGCGCGTAGAAGGTTTGCCGATGACTTCCAACTTACATCGACCGCATCCCGTGCTCATGAGGCCGGCGCTAAACGGCCGTGTGCTTTAAGCAGACGAGTAATAGAAACAGCGCTTTATCTTTCTATCTACAAGTATAAACACTTTTGTCATTTTGTTTTTGATAAAAGTCCTATAGTTAACATTCACTTTACATCAATTGTTAAGACAATTACAAACGAATTGGTCATTGACGGGACATCTATCGCAATGTTCATTGTTACTTTAAAAAGCAACAGGTCTCGCCCTGACCTTTACCAACTTTCCATGTGTACATGTGACGGGTTATTTGTGATTAGATACGATTACGTTGAAGGTCGTTGTGCATCAAACTCATCATAGACGGTATTGTGTGCCGACGTGTCAGTCGACTGCTAAGTAACCTGTCGAAACACTTCATTTTCCAATTGCCGCGCGAAGGGAACTGATTGCAATACTAGATGTGTGGTGTTATTACAAAAGTATCGCGTGTTACGGTGTTCTGTTTTCTTTTGTTTTTAAAAATAAGTATGCGCTTTGTATAGGCAGATAGAGTGCTTGATAAACTTTTATGTTATTGGAATTACGTGGCAGTACAATCTCGCTTATTAATGTTTTGATATTTTTATTCTTATTGTTAAATGAATAGACGTTTGTAAAACCTAAATAGAGCGCTTGTAATTTATGGATTAGAGTTTGCAAATCTTAGTAGGATTTTTTTAAACGTTAAATTTTAATAAAAAGTAACAAATAAGAGAGATATTTATTCAAACTGCTGTTAAACATGGCAAGATAAAGACACACTTCAAGGTTACAGTTTGAATATTTCAAGACGCGCAAACAAGTGAGTTTGAGATAGCTTAAACTCAAACGGATGACATTTCGATGACCAATTTACATACATTTCGTTCTTCTTTATTTTTGTAAGTTATTTCTGAATGTAGAAAAATAATATAACGATATTAATTTGACCTTTTACTGGTTTTTATTGTCTCATAGGTGTCAAACAAATGTTTTCCTCGACTTGTTGTTTATCATATTAAAAGAACTAAAGCTGTAAAAATATTAATGATTATCTTGAACTTTAAAAAGTTAAAAATAAACAAGTAAAAAGAACTTAACTGTTTTAAGTTGAAGTTGAAAGCTTGTGTAATCTTTATAAATATTTGCGATAATATTTGATATCTTGGTGGGACCCGGATTTCGCAATGCAGTTCTAATTTCTAAACTAAAATCCAAGGTTACTTTAATAGTTGACAGCGACAAGAGTTCAAGTTGTCTGCGTACAGTGGGGTCGTTGGAAAGTGTTCATTGAAGCGAATCGCGGGTGCGCGTTAGTTGCGCCACCGAATAAAGGTCGTCTGAGAATCGATTAAACGATTCGATTATATATTCGATATCAATTTAATAATCGACTTAACGTATGACACACGTTTTATGTTAAGAATCGTTAACCTAATTGCAGATTTATTCGATTCTTTCACCTCCGCAAGATGATAATGTTCTTAGTTCTCATGAACTTAGATGTCAATTTGGCAAAAACTCTTCGTTTTATTAATGCGTATTGCAAATGTGAGAATTTATTACGAACGTTAACCTAAGATTATATCATCGGTATTATAATAATAATGTAGATCATAATAATTTACGACATCGATCGTGTATTGAATTGCGTGTTGAAGTATCAAAGTGGAAACGTTCCTCGCAGCGTTCTCTGATTGACAACCGTAGTTATTGATACATTCGCTATTTCAAAACAAAAAGGATCCAACACGAAAATTTGCGAGTAAGTATTAGTAAGGACAGCGACAAAATTTGCACCTACAAGAATTGTGTAGAGCCCCTATCGGACGTAAAGTACACCATAATTTCATTTTTAATATGCATCCGCGTTGCCGTCTCTCTCTTGCCCGTTGATTAAATAGAGATAACATAATGTTTCTGTACAGGTGTATTAGGTGGAAACATTGGTTAATAATACGAATATTGAGGTATAGATAGGGAGCAGCTATTAGATCCGCGTACAAAAATGTAGGTTCCACAAATTTTATAAAGGTTTCTATTTCATACTTAAAGAGGTTACTTTGTTACTCAGTTCTTGCTTATCGTGTATCGACTGTACAGTACATATGCCAATATAAGAAATGTATTATCAATTAATAATTCATCCGAGCTTTTGACTATACAAAACGAAAGCGTTTATGCTTCCTTTATCATCAACATAAAAGTAATAAGTTTTATAAATAAATATGAAGTTACTTCAACATTAAAAATAATGTATTATGTATGAGAGTAATTCACTAAAATTTGAATTATTTAATAATTATAAGGTAATTAAGAATAAGGAATTTAAGAGAATCATTACTTGCGTAACCATGATTATGTCTACCGACACTTTTTCTTAAGCAGTAGCATACTTTTTACTATAATAGAATTTATATTTAGTTAATTTGAAGTAATAGGATATGTTAAAGCCAATTGTCACAAATTAATAGTACTGGTAATAGTAAATAAATATTATTACAGTCATTGTTTCTTAAAAAGTATTCGACCCATTGTACATGGTAACATAAATAAAATTTAAAATAAGTACATAAAAATAAATGAAAATCACATATTTATCTAGACATCAAATGTCATATGGACTGCTGAGTTTTCTAGAATGATTTTTTGTATTCAGATTTATTATAATTGAACCAGTTTGATTTGAAACGTGCATAAATTAATCTAGTCAGTATATTGTTTTATTAACATCATTTCCAAAAATAAAAAATGTTTTAAGAATTTTGAATTGACTGAAAAAACTTAAAAGATGCTTTGTAACAATATTTTCCAATAGTATTTAAAACTAAAGAAGTCCCAGTCTAATTATTCATACTAATTTAACATTAAGGTTCCTCCTTAATGGTCATTAAACGATGATTATTACAGCAGCATGTTTTGTTGGAGACAATTAGTTTGACATTAAATTTAATTGCTTATTTGAAAGGAGTCGCCGTCTGGTCATTTGACCTTCAATCAACTTTACATAGCTCATTGTAATCGTGGACGCTGGCTTTCCTTGTACGAACTTCTAAAACAAGTTTACAAAATTAATAAATCTATTCGACTAGACCAGACACCTGAAGTCTGTTGTTTCAGATTTTAGCTGTCTGTTTTTGACATTCTCTAATATACCACAATAACAAACAAAATAGAAGAGTATTATAAACATAATTCATCAAAAACTAGGTCTAAATTGCCTTCTCTATCCAATTTAAATTATTTTTACAATGACGTATGAGTGCAATTGTCCTCATTACGTATGATATTCATAAATTTGCTTACGTCTGCCAAATAATCGTTGAATGTTAAGTAATACAGCACAACTTGTTACCTAATAGTATTATTATATTTCCTTTATTATTCTGTAATAATAGTTAACAATTATTAATAAATTGTACCTGCTGCAATGCAAATGTAAAATGTGGCATTTAGATATCAGAAAAAGTTTATTCATTGATGAAGTATATGACAGTATCTTCTTACACTAATGCTTAGCACCAAAGCTTCTCTTCGAATATATAAAATAATAAGAGATATGAATAATTTTTCTGGAAGTACTAGAAATTGTTTAATAGAGCCTTTTGGATGGTAAATACCATTCGAATATTTTAAACTTAAATGAAAATTGTAATACAAGTTGGGATCTTAACTCATGACTATAGCGACGGACGTCAAACGCTTAGCTACTAAGTTATTAAGCTCTAAGTGATATAAGTAAACTAAAGTATTTATGCAAGTATGGTGCAGAGAAATATTAAGGTTTTCTATCTTTAGCAAGGCTACACGTGTCTGCAACAACTGAAACCAGTTCCAAGTGAACTGAATACAGCTTGTCCATAGCAATCAGTAGGCAATCGACTAGCCCCTTGACCAGTCCCCGCCAGGGCCCGTAAACAACTTTCGTCACACGATTTGTAAACTGACCATCGTGTGAAATACAACCAATAATTACGAGTACACAAAATTTATCATATAACTGTGTATGTAAATTGCAATATGCAGTATCGGACTGTCCGTTTCATTCGTCGCCGAAGATAACATTTGCGAACGGATGTCATACATGTGTGTAGGCAGATGGCCAAGTCTAGAATACGTTTATTATTTGCTTTATTAAGAAAATTACTTACGTCCAATCGTGTATAACATCCAATAACTTCAGCATATGATAACTTTAAATTATTCAAACTTTTATAGTATAAAAACCTTTAAACGTCACCAATATTCACGTGGAAAGTTAAGAAACACTTTTTTTAAATTATTTTTGCAGTAAAGAATAACACTGGCCACCGACGTAAGAAAAAGTTAGTAACGTTGTACGTTCTGCCGCGCAGTAGGAGTTGGCAAAACTGACGTACGCAGCGCGCAGGCGCCGCCAAGGTATTGTTAAAAGTTACTTTTACTTGCGACTGCGCGCGCGCCTCTAGAGACCTCGCTGTCATTGCCCGCGAAAGAGAAAAACAGAGTCGTCTCTTTTCAACGGTGGCTACGTTAGAAAATTTATAAACGCTGTACACCAAAATGTTTGTGCAAGATTAAAAGGAAATTTTATAGCTATGCTAAGTACCGGTCACGGTTCATTGAAATTTTAGGCGAGTATTGCCTTACTTCCTCGCGTGGAGCGGCGAGTACCACTTACGCCGGTTACCTTCGTCACTACGATGCTAGGGAAATAGTTTTTGCTTTAAATATTTATATTACGAAATTCAACATATCATTAAACAGCACAAAAATTTTGCAAAAGTAATTACATCATGACTTTTAACATAAACACATTTTTATAAAATCTACAAGTAATAAATAACACGTAAGACTTAAATTATTGGTAAGAAAGGTGAAAGACTTACTTGCTGCTATTTTAAGTTTAATAAAGAGTCTCTTAACAAAAAACATACCAAATAGTATGCGACATAGGTCATAGAACTCGGGACTGGAATCTTTTTAGTCAACTTCTGATGTGACCTTACCGATTAAATTTGAAATTCGTAAAATGCAACATTGACACGACCTCGCCGTCACCAGATCGTGAGTTGCTCGTTCCGGCTGATAGGTTTATTTTTGACCATAACCTTTTGCTCGGATTTCCCGCGATCACAATTGAAAATGTATCCAATTCCAATAAAAATTTAATCATGATTCACAGGAGAAACCAAAACCTTTCATAGTTTCCACATTGATGACTACGCGTATTGAAACGAATCATTTAGAATCGGATATCTTCTAAAAGTCACTGATTAATGTTTTTAATGGTTAACTCAAATTATATCGTATCTATAAACTCTACACACAGTTTTATATTTTAATTGTATTTTTTTAGTTTTTTCTCTGTCCGAAGATATATGAAAACCTTCAATGTGTAAGCTAACTCTACCCTCGTTCTTTCTGTATCGGGATATTCAGAAGGTTTTATATATTTAAATATTCAAATACGCTATTTCCCATTTTTGAAATTAGTAATAATTTAACCCTCTGGGCCACGGGCTGTGGATTTTTTCAAATAAAATAGCTTTTACATAAAATGTAGTATCACTTACCCATTGATATTTCGTACTTCTTGTTACTTATCACATTAAAACTTTATTCGTATTGCACCTTACATGTGTAGAGTATCTATACTAATAATAATTTTCGATTTATTTTAATTTCTATTTTTCTTCATATTAATTGCCTTTGTCTCACAAACACAAAGGCTTCTGTAATTCTACTGATTGTTGCTGATTTAATGTCTTTACACATGAAATAAAACTTCATTATGTGCGTCCTTTGATCAATATCAGTCATTTTTTTCTTTACATGTCATTCGTAAATGGAGATATGAATTGAAAATATATCTTTTGTCCAATAAAATGATCCAACCTGAGAAAAATCTTATAGTTGGAAAGAATAACGTTTTTCATAACATTACGTGTTATTTTTTAAATACCGATTGTTACTATGTTAATTCAAATTATTGGTTTTTTTTTAAATATAAAGTGGCAAACGAGCAAGCGGCAACCTGAATCCACCGAAATGGAAAGCGACCGCTGCCCATAGACATCCGCAATTTCAGATGCGTTGCCTACCCTTAATTGACGGAGGAGGAGACGTAGATAAAGAGGACATGTCCCCTACGTATGCGTCTCCTTCACCGTCAAATCTGTCTTTTCCTTCCCATCCTCTCCTCTTAAGAAAACGATATAAAGGCAAAGAGACTAAAATTAGGCCTCCGGCACTGTGTTGTAAACATAAATATCGAACTCTGTAAATAATTACTGCTATCAAATAAAATAATTCTGTTCTTTCATATTATTAACTCCATGCATAAACAGGCCATAAATTTTAAAAATTAAGAAAAAATACTCGCGCTTGCCAATTTTCTACCTTTTAATTTTAGGTTAGGTTTATGCATCAAATTTTCCAAAAAATAGCTACAGAATGTATTTTTTTTTAGAAAAAAATAAATCTATTATTACATCGTCTTATATGGACTGCTACATTTTCGGTGTCCGTTTGAGCCATTTAAGGATAATAGTGAGTAATAAAGATAAGCGAAACGGTTTGTAAGATGACTTGCCAAATGGTACAAAAAATTCACGATTTAATTCTGCAATACGGTGATAAAGTTCATAATTATATTAGTTTTATTCTATTTCTTGTGATATATCTTGTTTGAAAGTAAAAAGCATCTTTTAAAATTTTTCTAGTATCAATAACAAGATCCCTTTAAGACAGAATTCTTACATTACTTAAGTTTCTTGATTTATTTTTCTTCGGTTTTGATTAACTCTATTAGTATACTAGATAAAAAAGGAAAACTTTCGCATTCTTTTATCTCGAAAATAACAGACCTCGATTAATTCGAAACGAACATTTGTTTGCGCTAAAGATTGATTGAAGCAATTCGTAACAGGATATGCCCATAAATACTGCGAGGATAAAAAAAAAATATTATTCATTACTTATTACAATATGAGGCTATGCTCTTATAATCGGCCTTAGAAAACTCAATGAAATAGTGATTGTGAAAAATTGTTCGCAAGGATTACAAATAGAGAATAGAATAAGAGACTAAACAATCATGTGTTATCGACCTAATTTCCGGTGTACTAAATGCATGGATTTTGGCGAAAAATCAATGGATACGGTTGTTGCATTGACTTACATTAAAAGTCCATGTTGATGTTGACATATTTGCATATCTGACAAGTATAGTGGCAACAACTCTCTAGCTGACGGTTGTTTTGAATATTGTTATAATAATTGTCCAATATAGTTGAAAGTCAAAGTATTTTCCGTAGTATCAGCGGTAGATAATACATGTGTGAATTAAAACTGCATCGTCCCTAATGTCAAACGGACCAGACAGGTAAAATGCGATAAGTATCAAGATGGTTTTCAGTTCAATATATTCACAGTGTGGGTGAATTGATTGTTACACGAGGATATACAAGTGTGTCAATACTGAATTTATGCTTAACGATTTTCGGATGACGTCATAGTTGATGTATCCTGATGTACCAGTAGGAAATACGGCGAGAGTGTTGCATTAGTTACGATGAGGCTATTGTAATGGAAATAGCGCTGCACGGCTTTTGGAATTGGAGTGCAAAATTTATATCAACTTCGAGGTCCTCGTTTGCAATGTGGATGTCGAATTCTACACGGGGTTTTTACTAATTTTACTAATGTTATAAATGCGAAAGTTTAAATTGATGGATGACTGTTAGAGTTTGTAGTCTAAACGTCTGAGTCCAACTCGATGAAATTTGTGTAGAAATGTAGAGGATAGTCTGGAAGAACACAGGCTAATTGCTTTCTTTTAATTGCGGACGGAGACGCGGGCGAAATCTAGTGATAAGATAAATGACCGATAGTCTCAATTTTACGGTGACATAATACGTATATGATAGATGTTTTTCAACTGTAATCTGAGCTGGAAATACGAGATCAGTAAAATGTTATGTGAATATAGTGAACGTCAAGGTCGGCTGAGTTTCTTTGCAATTACTAAGTATAGGAATGTAAAGGTGGGTTTTCATGGTGCGTGATTCGACACTCTATTCTTTCTTTCTACAGACATTGACAATGAAGGACTTAAAGATACCAACTAGTGAACACAATTGATATTATTTTCGTGCTGCAACGTAGAATAATGCCGTGGAAATATTTACTGACAACTAGACGTAAAATTAAACATGTATAATGTGCGTATTTTTTATTCGAATTTATTCAAAGCGTTGTCATAATATAAATAGCAGATTTATATCTTGCCACAATTTATTACATTTTTAGCTTCAAAATTATATTTCATATTAAGATCATCTGTCAAAATTAAATAAGGATTAAGCGTCCTTGTCACTCTTCCAAACTGAAATCTTTTTTATAACAGTTTATTGCATGTATTATTTTGTTAACTAACATTACATTATAGGGTTTACGTTGTCTGTTAAATTTCCTTTTATACTTCTATTATAATCATTTATTACTACTTGTATTAATTTTCTCATTTAGATTTTTTGAGTTGACTAAAAAGCTTTTATATTATGTTAACCTCAATCGTCCTTAAAAGGGAAACATAAATGATTATTGCAACTCGCTGATATTGAATTTAATTTTGTATAATACGGACTGAATTTTTAACCATACAAGTAGTTTAACTAAATTGAATTTCTGATCGCGTTCATTTAAATTGAAAAGTAAATTTTTTGTATTATCTATTGACCAAACATATAGAAACATTTTGTCTGTTGACTATAACGTATAAATATAACATACCAAAGCCTTAAAATTGTTGTAATTAGATCAAGTTACTGTTTACCCAATATACAAACTTTAGTGATAAAACATTTGATGTTCCCATTTTATACTACGGAAAAACATTTAGGGCCTGTCCCACTAAATTGAAAATTGTCTGTCAACAATTCAACGTGTCAAATATATGATGGAAATATCGGATTTTGTTACCTTATCAACCAGTGGTGGGACAGGCCCTTAATGTTTAACTAAATAATTTCAAATAGCAGCAATAAATTCATTACGTTGAACTTAAATTTTGTTTTAGCATCTACATCTGATTATTGTTTTAAAAACCGTCAACAATTTTATAATCGGCGCCTAGTACTTTAATATCAGCAATAATATTCGAATTGCATTTTGAGCAAAAAGGAATTGGTTAGCAATAAATCTGACACAGTTATGAGTTATTAAAAAACATAGTTACAGACAGTAAACAGCACGTAGTAATTTGGATTAGAATGAAATTATTTTGTTTTAATTAATTGTATTATTACAACGTTGATATTCATACTATTCTTACGCCATCTATTATGTGGAATATTAAACTTATAAGAACTATAGGCATGGACACATGAAACTGAAAGTATTATTTCGAAGTCTATAGATGTCGTTACTTCTTTAAATTGAA